AAGAGTCCCATGGTTCTCAGCCTGTCGTTGTAAGGTCTGTTTTCCTGACCTCTGATCATGCGCGTGGCTCTCCTCTGCACCCTCTCAAGCTTTTCCACATCCTTTTTGAATTGTGGAGCCCAAAACTGGACGCGGTACTCCAGTTGCGGCCTCACCAAGGCTGAGTGCGAGGGGAGAATGATGTCCTGGGATTTGCTTGAGAAGCATCTATGGATGCAAGCCAGCGTTTTGGTCGCTTTACTAGCCGCAGCATCGCATTGAAGGCTCATGTTCATCTTGTGGTCAATGATGACCTCCAAGTCTCTTTCTTCCATAGTGTTAGCCAGCGTAGCACTGCCGAGCCTGTAAGGATGCTGCAGGTTTTTTTTCCCAAAGTGGAGAACCTTGCATTTTTCAGCATTAAACACCAAAGAAGAGGGCTTCACACAGGAACAGCATAAACAGAAATGGCCCCAAAGTGTAACACTGGGGAAATGCATTTGGAGGGGAGGCCATGGTTAGAGCATAGCCTAGACATGTTCTATAACATTTCCCCCCAGTGGTCAGTCTCCAGATGACCAAGGTTCTTTTGATTTTTGCTGCATGAATATTTTTCCAGATATGGTCCAGAGAAATCTGCATTATCAAACTCAAAGAAAAGTCTGCAGGTGGCCAAAACTTGTGTCATCTGGACATAGCAACAAAGGATGGAGAAGGTACTGAATAATACATTCACTATTTAGAATTGCACTGTTAGTGTTGCTATATGAAGGTGCTCAGTGGGAAGTGCATGCTGTCTTATAATGGCTCATTTTGTATTTAATTTGCTGTCTAGATTAGATTAATGTTAGGTTGTGTTGTGGATGTGATGGTGATTTTTGTGAACTCTACACTACTTCCAGGACAGGGACTTAATGTGATGGAGTTTCTGGCCTTCAGATAGCTAGGGGCTTTTCTGGGGTGGTCCCCAGTGACCTCGCTCAAGAGCTCCTGTGGTGGATATCCCTGGAGTGGTCTCATTGGTGAATGTTTTGGTTTGGAGCAACACACGTTGCTGTATTACAACTCTTTACACAATGCATGGTAATGGAGTTCCAGAAATCTCAAGACATTTACTGAGACAGCTGTGCAAACTATGTTCACTGAGATTAAAAAAAAAAAAAAAAAAAATTCAATCATTTATAGAAAGGCTTCTAATTTTATGCTAGATGTTAAGTAACTGCTAACGTATGGTGGTAGGAAGAAACTTTCATTATAGAATAATTCGTCCATAATTACTGACTGTAAGGTATCTCTGAGAGAGGATTTCTCTCATCTGCCATGTCAGTTTTTTTTCTTTTTATTATGGCCGTGTAGAGATGGCCTCCTGATTCTTCTGGCGTTCTAGCAACTACTGTGGAGCTCTGTCTAAAAACGTTGCCAACCACACATGAAGTTTAAGCAGCTTCCCTGCCTTTGCTACCTTCTCTAACTGGTATTTTTAATGCTTATTATAGAATGCCATTATAATATGCTTGATGCCTGTAAACATCTAGCTTGTCTCAACAAGGTGAAAAGTTATGTGGCATGAAAAGTGACTATTGGCACAAACTCTTGGATCGTGACTGACATGAAAGTAGCAGAGCCTCATAAATTTTGTCTGCAAACAGGCAAACAAGGACTGCAGCTCCAGGTTGCCCGTTTCCTCCAGACTGGGACCTCTCAGCTCTGCCTGATGTAGGATACAAGGTAGTTTTTTTCACTTAAGTACTATATGCATGTAAGAGTTTATTGTTTTGTTGGTTATTATGGTATGTTATGGTGTTCCCAGCTTTCAAAAGAGTTGCTAGAAAACTGAACTATAAGCTGGAACAAAATTGCCTGTTGATTCATCTGAGAAGGCTCAGGGGGGACTTGGTGGCAGCCTATAAGTATATAAGGGGTGGGTATCAGGAACTGGGAGAAATGTCTGTTCACCAGGGCATCCTAAAGAAAGACAAAGTCTAATGGTCACAAACTGCTGGAAGACTGTTTTAGAGTGGACATAAGACAAAACTTCTTTATCATGAGTCTCCAGAGTCTGGAATAGATTCTTCTCCCCCCCCCACTCGCCCGCCCACCGCAGCAGTGGTGCAAGCACCTACTCTGGACATGTTCAAGAAATGTTTGGATGCTTACCTTGCTGGGGTGATCTGACCCCAGCTGACTTCCTGCCCTTTGGGCAGGGGGCTGGACCCAATGATCTTGCAAGGTCCCTTCCAGCCCTAATGTCTGTGAATCTCAAATAGACATGTGTCCGTTGGAAACTAGCTGATGGCTACTTCATTCCACATGAGTGCACTACTGAACAATCATCAGGTAGTAGTGACTTGGGTTGCTATTGACCTGATTTGGATGCTAGTTGATTGAAGTTCAGGATTTCTCCAAGGTACCTTGTTCTCCTCCCCCCTCCCCCCCCCGGGCATTTTTTTTTCCCGAAGATTATTTTTAATACAGAATTATGCAGTATGGTGCATTTTAAAGGAGTATCATGAATTCACTTGACATTATTATAGAAAGATCTGTGTCTCAGTGACCTTCATGAGGGTTTTTAAAAAAAAAAAAAAAAAAAATCTTCCCCAATGGTTACAAGGTTGTGTAAGTAATTTGCCACAATAAAGTGGGGCATATCTATATAGAGAAGCTAGTGTGGAGATGCAGAATAGCTGTTTCTGCACAAGCACACTTATTCTGCACAAATAGCATAGAAGCTGCTTTGTGCAGCTTAGCTGTAGTTTACTGTCCAGTTATGGCCCTCTTGATTCAGAATAACACTAACTTCTCTATATAGAAAACCCTCCAGGGTTAATATCTTACAGCATGTGGGGAGATGGGCAGAGGGAGAATACTGCTAATAAATAAGTGAGGTAGACTCTGGGAAAACTTGACTTTTGATTGTAGCTTCAGGGTGGTCCATGTCTCATGTGATGTAGCTGGAGGGATAGAGGGTGGGTAACTAAGAACGCTCTAACTCCTTGAATTCTTTGTATTGAATACTTTCAGTTGGTAGAGGTCAGTAGTACTGCGAGTGAATATATGCGAATCAAAGACCTGTTTGAGAAGACCATGCAAAATTATTATATCCACAAACTGCAGAGGATTCAGAACCCATCACTGTGGCAAGTTTTCCAGTGGTTTGTATCCACTTTTAATTCATTTTCCTGGTGCTAGTAGAGCCATTTTGATAATTTTGGGGCTTCTTCTCTTGGATTCCCCCTGGTGCCAAGCAGGACGAATATTTCTCTTCTCTTAGCCAAATGTAAGCTGTGGTGAATCAAGATTCCTTTTATTCTCTTCTCCATGAGCACATAGTTCTGGGTTTGTTTGTGACCATTGATTGAGGGCTTTACTAAAGATTTTTACCAAATCTTTGCAAGTCATTCCTAACTTACTTTTATAAAACACATTCATGACACAGTTGATTGAGTACAGTTTCATGACTTTTCAAGTTCTCCCATTTGAAAAGGATGAAGTTCCTATCTGCCTGTTTCTCTACAGCTAAACTTTGTGTTTGGATGGGTTTGTGTTGGTCCACTGGAATTAGAAATTGGGACTTGACTTGCATTATTTCCATTTTTTTCCTTCCTCCAACTAAATAAAGTGGGGTGAAGAAATAGTTTATTTTCCAGTGGAATTTCTCAAAACCTTTTCATCCACTATGGAGTAAAAACAAGGCTTCAGTGTCTCAAGAAAACGGAGGGAGGCTGACCAATCTTCCGCTTCTTACCTTCATTAGAATAGCTGATAGCTTGGTAGTTAAAGCACCTGCCTGGGATGAGGGAGAACCAGATTCAGGTCCCTGCACTGCCTAATTAAGAGGGCCTTGACTTAGCTCTTCCATGTACCAAATGATTGGGATATTTATTGCTCTGGCATAGGGTATTTGACTTCAGGTATGGACAGAAGTTCATTTGAAGCATTCCAAATCCTGCTATGATTTGAAATGCTTCAAATTTGCAGTGCTTTGGTACTGTGGAGATGTGTGGCTTCTGCCCCCCCACTCCAGAGTGTCATAAATGGCTGTGCAAATGTGTAGTGATTGTGCCCTCCAGTCAGGGGGCAAGAAAGCAGGGATCTCAGCTTGTCTCTTGGACTCCAGATGTTTTGAAGGATGGTCAACAGGAAAATGCTCATTGACTGTCCATCTCACTGTCCCTTCCCTGCAGCATGTGTGTATAGGGGAAGCAGAGTACTGTGGCATGCCAGAGGATTGAGCAACCCCCTACTCCATTGGAAATGTATGCATTGCATAAAGCGCTTCAGAGATTTTTTTTTTCCGAGGGTTGTATCATCTCAAAAGCACTCGGAGTTCTTCGAGCCAAGTACCTGTCCATACCCATGAATAGAAATTCCATCTTGGAGTTTCTAGAAATGTTAACAGGGGCAGTTGTAACAGAATTGGTGTGTTCCTGCAAAAGGCTAGTTTAGCCAAGTTGGTGCTGGTCATTGGGAGATGCTCATTTTGTCAATACATGACCCAGTTCTACCAGTGAATTTTTTCTAACTTTGTTGAAGCTTGAAATTCCTTTGTGAAATACAGCCTAATATCCAGATGGAGCAAGATAAATTTACAAAAAGGCTTGATTGAGAGGCTGGTGGGATGAGTGGAATTGGGATATGTGCATTATTTTTAAGCAACAGGGAAAAGGAACTGGAAAGAAGATAAATCAAGACAACAGGAAGTTTCTGCTGTATGTTTATATGTTGGGGGAGGGAAGGAATTCAGTTGCATCAATGGATACCTAAAGCAGCAGAACTTCAGATGATCTTGACATGCTTTAAAAATCTTAATGATCAAGTTAATAAGCAAGTATGATGGTTCTAATAGGAAAAATGGTTTAGGAACAGGTGTTGCATTTGTCCCAGGACACTAATGTCATGGGATTGATGTATACACGCATCACCCTTCTAATCAGGATTTAGTGAGTGGCTGAATCCACTGCTGCTTTCCTGCCATTGATTCAATGATGCAATCATAGGATAACTAGTCAGACACTTAGCAATGTACTTCTTATATTGTGAACTTTTTGTGGGTTTTTTTTTTTTGTTTTTGCTTTTTTTTATAACCCTGGGACAATGGATTTGAATATTTGAATGACTGCACTTTGCCCCAGGATAACATGGTTTATGCTGGGACAAAGTTGACCCTTGCTCGTAGCCTTGAACAAAGGAATCCAAAAACTTGCAGGTCTTGGAGGCCATGGTGGGGGGGATTGGTGCCTAAAAGCATACCTCTGAAAGGGTGCATGTGGAAGTGTCTCAAAGTTGCACTTCAGCCGTTAGCCTGTTGGCATTATCCCTCCAGGAACTGAGCAAGCATGCATGTGCTGGAGTGGCCTTAGTGTGCTCACCATTTCAACTTTTAACATAATTCTCTATCCTTTCCCCTCAAAATAGCACACAGCATTTCAGGAAAATTGCTTGGTACTAGCATTCCCGGGTAAAGCTCCTTTGGGAAGGGTTTGGCTAAAATTTCAAAGCGTCTTTTCCCAGTTACTTGAAAGTTGCATCCTGGGATGGCTGACGGGGAGGCAGAGGCTCATAGTGTCTAAGCAAGTAAGGACTAAGTAGACCTTCTGAATCTGATTTTCTTGACTTTATGGAGAAGAATATTTTAGCAACTTGAAGGGGGAGGTAAGGGAGAGAGCATGGAGGACATGATATTTATAAAAGTCAGCTTGTTTTACTTGTACTACTATGGACAGTGAAAGCATGAACCAAGGACCAGGGAATTAAAAAGGCTCAGCAAAATGCTCTGGAAGGGTCTCTAAGGGGTAGAGGATGAGAGCTATTTGCTCAGCCCAGTCAGGTCCAGGGACTAAGGATAAACAGAGAGTCTGAATGGGTTATATTTTGCTTAAGGACTATTTTCTCCTGCCTGAAGCTTGACATCATTTGTAAGGGCTTTTCTTTGAGCATGATGTATGTGTTGTGCTTTTGCATATTTGAGGGGTAAAAGTGAAGCTTGTGTGTGCTGTGAAACTGGAAGGAATTATAGGGAGCAATGAAGGTTTCCATGTCTGGAAACCTGTTATATCCGTTGGGGCTACGTTGCCAGTCCTTATTTTGGGTACTTCAACAATGAGTGACTTCATAAACATTTTTTAATGTTGGCAGACTTTATCAAAGTCTGCTTCAACCAATTTTTACAAAGCTCTTTGAACCTGAGCATACAAATTGGTGATATCACCTGAGCTGTAAAACTCTGATCTGGATTTGGATCTAAATTTTAAGCATGCTCTGAACTTGTGACATCTGAGATTCTTGGTTCTAGCTTTGTTTGAGTCGAAGAAAAATGTTGAACTCGCTGAATCCCAGCATTTCCCCCTCCCTTCGTAGTGGGGAGGATGGGAGGTGGGATCTGAATGGCAAATGCAGCATTTAAGTCTTCAACTTAACACCAGTTTCTTCCAGGATTTGCACTTAAAATTGTGTGTTAATAAACATGCAGATGCTGTAGTTGTGCTGGCTAACATGAGGTGGTCGGCAACTGAAAGCTGCCTAAAGAAGACAAATATTTTCTTCTTCAAAATACTTTCTATAAATAATAGAATATGCACATCTGGAACTGGACCTATAACTAACAATGATAGGGATGGAGTTGTAATTGGCAAGTGAGGAATGCAAAGATGACTGCTTTGGGTGGAAAAAAATTAGGCAAGTTATTTCAACTAGCTGGATGGAAAATTAGAACAACTACGGAGGATATTGTGTTTTCTACCTTTGAAATCAAATGTGAAAAAAGGCAAACCTAAATGCATCCTGTGAAAAGCCTTGGAAAGGTTACTAAAACTTTTCTGATTCATTTGATTCACACTGTTTCATGCTGAAGTTGCTTCTCAGGACTTCAGAGCTGGAACCATTTTGCAGTATGCATGTGTATGGTACCCAATGCAAAGGAAGAACCTGTCTATTTGGAGAGGGGAATGTATGTGTGATGAGGTCAAATTCCTTTAATATCTTTCATACATGCTAAAATGACTTTTGCAAGGACAGAACTGAGGATCTGAGTCTGGCAGAAAATAATCAACTTCTGACCAACACAGATCTGTACTTTTTTCTTATTCTGAGTGGTGTCTTCCTATCTTGATGGCTGGGATTTTATTTTTGCCTTAGTCTAGAAAGAACAAGCAGAAGCTTGTCAAACTGAATGGCCGCCTAGAAGGTTAACATCCTTAGCAGGGCTGAGACAGGCTGTACATGTATCTGTGAGATGCTCTATTAAGAAGGCAAGCACTATGCCATGAGTAAACAGGGTCTGTATTCTGCAAACTGGGTTGCATGTCAGAGTTCATCCTTGTGTGAGGTCAGAAAGATAGTTCTTTGAACCGGCTTGCCTAGTCTGGTTCCAGTACCTTTAGAGAGCTGGTTCAGTCAGGTCTGGATGGTGGTCCTTCTCTCACTGTTCCAAGCTAGAGATCTACCCAATACCCTGATATGGGGATTGTACCATCACTCATGAGAACACCAATGTGAGTCCTGAGCACCAGCTGCATTGGCTTCAAGGTAATTCTCCTCTGGGCATATTGTTATACATTTGTAGTGTAAGGGATCCATGGGATGCAGAAACAAAACTTGCCATCAGTTCTGTATGCTCTGGTCTCCTGTCATCTCTGGAGAGTGACCTTTATTCCTTATTTTCTTTCTTTGTATTTAATATGGTGAAGAAGTAGGCAGACTGGTGTCTTGGTGTTAGCCCTGATTGATCAGGAAACCCCTGGAAGAGGTGGGCTGAGGAATGCTAAGATTAAACCCAATATCTTTGACCAATTTCCAACTTTGATGTTTAAGTTTCACTTGCAACATTGACTAGTTCTTTTCTCCACTCAAAATTGGATGGGGGGGTGTGTGTGTATTCAGCTGCTGATTTCAATCTTTTTATCCTTAGGCAAAAGGAGCAGATGAAGAAGATCAACAGACAGGAGGATGTAGATGAGAGGCTCTTGTTCCATGGAACAAATACTTCCCATTTGCATGCAATCTGTGAGCAGAACTTTGACTGGAGAATCTGTGGGGCTCATGGAACAGCCTATGGAAAAGGTAGAAGTTCATAAACAGCTTATATATTGTGAACTTCAAACACTTGCCAGAATGCTGTGACATGCTCTAGTACCAAACAAGTCCATTTCCTATGGACTGGGCTTGCTTCTGTTGCCTTGCATCTGTTACAGCTGTTCACATTAGTTCAGGATGTGCAATGCTAACAAACAGGTAGCAATTTATACCCATTTTGCAAACCTTAAAAGACTATATGAAATGCAGGGCAATTGAAACACACTGCTTTTTTCTAACTTAAAGGACTTAGTCTTCCTCCTTGAACTTAATCATTTCACCCTTGCTCAGAAAAGGATCTTTAAAGCAATTGCACTTAATCTTGCACGCACAAAAGTCTTCCTTTTTTTAGCAAGGTGGTTTATTGGCTTTTCCGTTTGGCACATCCAACCCTACCTTTTTTGCACTGGCGTTTTCACTCCCAGATGCAAGTTCAGTGAATGATGAATCACTGTGGTCCATGTAACTTGGCTACAAGTATCAGGAGCTCCGGTGATGACTTAATTTGAACACTGTTGCTATTGGCCTTTGTGGTTTTTTCTGTTTCCCCTTAAACCCTAATGCTGTCATCATGGTCTATCATGGCATAAGATCCCATTTTTGGAGTATTAACTCCAGCATTTATAGTTGACCATGTTTTTTTACCTGTGGTAATATAGAAAGAGATCCCTTTCATAGGAGCCTTTTTTTAAAAAATACACACACAGAAATTTTGAGGCATCCGGGAGTTCTCTCTTTTGATGCAGTTCGAATGGGTGTCTTGTGTCTCCCATTGGAGCCTGTAGAAGTTTGGACACTTGCTAGGCCTTGTCAAATTGGTTGTACTCTACACAGAACTGGATTTGGCCAAAAAACTTTCTAAATGCAGCTACTTTTTGGAGTACTTTTGCCAAAGTGAAAATTTTTCAGTAGGGGCAGGGGAAAGAACAACATCAAAATAAGCCAAGGTCTGGTCTAACGTAAGTAAGTTGGGTTTTTTCCCTACTTTTACCAAATTTACACAAGTTCAATGCCAGTGGGGATGCAATTATCCTGTAGTTAATTCCCCTTCCTGTATAAATGTAAACATTTCTAGTATTACTGAAGCCACATTTAGGGTTGTACTGCTTTTGACTCTTAGGCTAGGTACAGGCATTCAAAAAGCTTGAAGCAGAATTGATCTAAGTTGCATGGTTTTCTGTAAGTGGCATACTTTAGATTGGTAGTGAACAGAATACACATTCTCCCTGGGGCTGGGGGTGGGAGAAAATCTTAGACTGGGTTCTGCCATTTTTAAACCAGTCTGTATGTGCCAAACTAATGTTCTGTTATGCGTATAGACTGGCTTCCAATCACTTACACCAGTAAAAATGTAATGTCTGTACCTGGACTTAGTGCTTCAGTTAAGAGCAGGATGTGGCCCATGTGTTTTTAAAGTAGAATGCATGTTATTAAGTCAAACAATTGTTGCATTACTTAAGCTATGTCTGCAGTGTCATAGAGGTGTGCCTGGACAAGACTGCCATCCCAAGAAAACATGTTTTACTTGTGTATCTTTTTACTGATGTATGTTTTACACAATGTAACCCTTCTGTTAGGCTCTGAACACTATTAACAAGGGCTGATTTTCAAATTTAAGGGCATTTTTAGATGTGCATGCGAGGCAGTGCTGGGCACATTGGAAAGCAACCGGCTTTGCCTTGTATGCATTTGTATAAACAGCAAAATGCACATCAGTGATGAGAAAATGGTGGCGGTGCACTTTTGAACTAAAATGCATCAAAGGTGTTTTCGTTCAAAAGCATGCCACTGCCATTTTTTCAGCGCTGATGTGCATTTCACCATTTATACAAATACATGTGACACAGCACTGAGTGCATCAGGTCATGCGCAGAGCAGACTTGATTTAATTGAGCCTTCTTGAATGTGCCAGAGATCTGGTGTGTCGCACCACAAAAGTGTACGTGTATAAATGCCCATTGGGTTTAACATCAATGTTTAACAGTTTTTTACTTGACTGCAAAAATGGTTTTAGACCATACTGACCCCACCTTGGGGAGTCTCTTACTTGCCCCCACCCCAGCCCACTCCCCAATCTTACCCCCACTGGCTGTGCAACTCTGCCCTAACCTCACTGCCCCACTCCCTGTCCTGCTCAGTGCCTCGGACTGTGCAGTGCTGCCTACCTTCAAGGCAAGCAGGCAGCTGGATGCAGCAGCAGCACATAGGTGGTGGCTAGGGGGGTCTGTGGAGGCTCCTGTGGACCATAAAGCCCTGAGGGAGAGTTGTCGTCCCCCCGCTTGCCGGGAGGGAGTGTGGGGGGGGGGGGGGGCCCTCCCCAGTTAAAAAACCCCTGGTTTACGGGGTTGCGGGCATAAACTTTTTGATTTTGGGTGTAGACACATT